AAAAAAAAAAAAAAAAAAAAAAAAAAAAAAAAAAAAAAAAACAAATACACACAACACTAGGGACGTGAAAGCAGCTGGATACAGAGTCCACAGTACACGTGAAAGTATGCCCTCCCAATGGGCGTTACAGGCTTACAGCCCCGCTGTAATCACTACAGTTGCAAAGAAAAAGAACCAAGGGAAAAAAAGCGAAAACTCACTTAGCCATGAAAGCAGCTGGATACAGAACCTGGGGGTACAAGTGAGAGAGTGACCTCCCAACGGGCGTTACAGCCCCGCTATAATCACGGCAGTAGCAGCAAAAGAAGAACAACAAAACAAAAAAAGCAACACCTCTTTGGACGTGAAAGCGGGCAACATACAGAATCTGGAGTATATGTGAGAGCCCTCCATTGCAAATTGTCAGCTGTCTGTGGAACACACCCTGCCTCGCTGGCAGGGCACTAAAACTAAATCAGTTTAATCAGAAGAAAAAGAAAAAAAAACACCAAAACAAAAAAAACGAAACTACCTATGATTCTGGGTAGATGCATTCCTTCAAGCACTGATGTGAGCAGCTGGTTCACAGCCTTCCCCGATGTCCTTCCTTTGAATAGAGTTCCTTTTTTTTTTTGTTTGTTTGCTGTTCCAAACGGGCCCATAGGGCCCAAACATTTCCTTTTTTCCGAGCCTCGTCCAGAACCCCGAAAAATGTGGTGTGACGCTAGGCTACCAGAGTGGCCCGGTACCACTTGCATGGCCGGGCAAAAAAATAAGAATAAAAATAAAAAAATGGTAAAGAATCTCCATGTGACCCTGAGGCAAAAGTTGCTCAGTTAATGTTTTTGAATAACATAGTTTGTAACTGTTTGTTTTCGGATTTTTTTGATTTTTTTTTTTTTTTGCTGGGACCTTCCCTGGTTCTTGCACGGCCGGGCCGCCGGGAAAACAGGGTGGCCCGGGCGGCCCGGCTGGTAGCCTATGTGCGACGTATATTCCCATTTTTCCCAACACTGAGAAAGGTAGTGGTGGTTTAACGGACATGATGAATCTATTGTTCTCAACAGCTCATGGGATGCTGATCGGCAACTGCGGAGGGTCGTGGATTCTGCGTGGATGCTGCTGCCTGCGGAAGATCTCATGAATGTCACGGGTTGACGAGTAAGTCCTTGCTGCAACGGTGCTGGGGTGGGCTGAATGTCACGACCGGTATGGCTTCAGTTTTAACACTGGGTCACGGTTGCAGTGGTAAAGGCATCTGGCTGCTATAGCCGAGGTCACCGGTTCGACTCCGTCTGGCTGCGGAAGTCCGTTTGGCTGCGGATCGATTACTGGGCTACAATGATAAACCTATCAACAACATCGGTGGATCACCTTTTTTTTTTTTTTTGAGATGATGCTCCAATCTATTTGTGGGGAGCAACACGGCTGGGAACCGGGCCCAGCATCCCTTACCAGAATACAAAAATGAGCTACCGGGGTCATTACCCGGCTTCAGCTAAGAACAATTGAAGAAAAGGGAAAACTCAGAAACATTCATGGTCCACTATTCAGACTCTACCAAGTGGATCACATTGATGTTGATGTCACCCCATTTAATCGACTGTTTTTTCTCCACAATATCAAATGCCCGCCATGGTTCGATGGATGTGTCAGTGACTTAGCATTGATGGATGGAGTACCGTCTTCACCCGAATAGAACGCCCGGTAATTATGGCCGTATCTGGACTGAAAAATGGATCAAATACGGCTATAATGACCGGGCGTTCTATTCGGGTGAAGACGGTAGTTGGAATTCAGAATCCTTTCCCTAAAAATAGTCTGGCATGATGACTAAAAGGGCCTTTACCCGATATAGGCCTCAGGCCTTGTAAAAATAAAGCAGCACGGGCCTTGAAAAAGTAAAGCATTGTGAAAAGGTATCTCGTCAGAGCTCAGAAACGTGAAAGCAGGTCAAAGGTCAAGTTCTCTATCAACAGGCATATTTAAAA